AGCTCTGCCTGAGCTGGAGACGAGCTGCGCGGATCCAGTCGATCAGCACCTCAGTGACATCACCCTTGCTGCGCAAGGGGAAGACTGTGGTGTAACGCGAGTAGTCGTCAACCACCAACAGGAAGTAGCGCTCGTGACTGAGTCCACGGACGCGGGCAGGGCCCCACACGTCCATGTGAAGCGTCTGCAACGGAGCCTTTGTCGGAGGAAACTGGGAGGAGTGAGGGGCAGCACGCTGGCGCCCCTTGACACAGGGGACACAGGCAGGGCCAGGGCCCTGAGGAAGGGGAGGGAGGGACCGGGGGAGACCAGAAACAAGAAGACGGGAGGCCATGCCTCTGAGCCGAAGCAGAGAGGGGTGGCCAAGGCGGTGGTGCCAGAGGAGAGTCTCGTGAGACAAACGGCGACACGAACAGGAGGCAGACTCAGGACCAGACCTGGACGCTGCAGCAAACACCTGACCAGACGAAGGGACTCTACCAGACTCAGCACCGGGAGGAGAAGCAGTGGTCAGTGTGTACAGGCTCGACCCTGCCTGACGTGTAAACGTTGCCAGGTGGCGACCTGTGCTAGCCTCTGTGCAGTGTGTCACCCGCTGATAAGCAGGAGTGAACTGGTGGACACCCACATCCTGTAGGTCAGCACCACTCACCAGGTTCGTAGAGAACGAGGGGAGGTAAAGACCAGTCAGGGTGCCAGAGGGAGCCGCCGGACACGGGAGGACTGTGGAGAAACGAGACAGGACAGGACCCCCAGAGGGGTCAGCCAGGGACACCGCAACAGGCCGACTAAGCGGCGTGAGAGTGGTGCGGTCCCGAAAGAAGGAGCGAGACGCCCCAGAGTCAAGGGTGAAGGTGTGAGAGGCAGAAGCCGACACAGTACTTGAGAGGGCAGACTCACTAGCACCTGAGAGCACAGACGCACTGGCACCTAGAGCAGCAGCCTCACTGGCACCTGACATTGCAATACCAATGCCCGGGTCGGGCGGGAAACACCGGTAACAGTCACCATCATCACTAATAGTCACAACATACATGGCAGCAAGGATAGCATCAAAGTCAAGATCAAACACAGCTACACCAGCCCTAGACAGTTCTCCCCAGCGGGGGATCTCAGAGGCCTCCGGAGACTGCTGGCGCCAAGCGTCGGTCAAGCGGGCAAAGCAGCGGCGAGCGGTGTGGGTGCCCCTACACTGCTCACCCGCGCGGTCGTCGGTGCGAAGGACGTAGGTGCACGGACCAACGCCCCACCACGCTGACGCTGCGAGTACCACTCACGGAGCTGCTGAGGGGCGGGGACGTCGCGAGAGCGCTGCTTCTGCTGCTGCTGCTGGCGCTGACCACCCCCAGTGCTACTCCTCTGGGACGAGCCACTCCGACCACCTCCACCACCGCCACCCCCGCCTCCGCCGCCACCGCCGCCACCGCCACCCTCGCCCCCGCCGCTCCCACTGCCTCCTCCGCCACCACCTCCGCCGCCACCTCCGCCTCCACCGCCGCCACTAGTACCTCCACTCCCACCTCCACCCCCACCGCCACCCCCACTCCCCCCGCCGCCCCCACCTCCTCCGCCACCGCCCCCGCTAACTCCACCCGCTCCCTTGCCCCCCTTGCTCCAGCTAAAGCGGCGCCTACTGCTGGGGGCAGACGCCGCACCGACCGACTTTAAACCAACGAGGTTAGCCGCAGCACCAGAGGCGACAGAGGGGAGCAAGGGGGAAGGAGAACACCCCTCAAAGATGGGGGTGCGCGGGTCACCACGAGAGGCCCCTACAGCGACTATGCTCTTCTCGGCCGCTAGCAGGGACTTCTCGAGGAGGTCGACAGTGAGGGTGGTGGGACAGACAGAGAGAAACTGGTCCCTAACAGCACGAAGGGACTCAGGGAGACGGGTGACTAGAAAGTAGAGGGTGATGTACATGGGAGGGGGGTTTTCGGCGAGGAAGGCAGCAGGAAGCGCAGCTCGGTAGCGAGTGTCGCTAGCGCGAAGGTGGGTAAAGAGGTCAGTGACTGTGGGAAAGGCAGCAAGGTCAGGGAAGAGGTACGGTAGCATGAGGCGGCTCAGTGTAGCAGTGGAAGGGGAGGAGTAGCGTGCAACTACAGCGTCGTACAAGGCCTGAGCGGTCTTGCACTGACTAAAGTGCGCACGCTCGGAGGAAGGGAGGTGGCGACGCACAGCAAGACGTGCAGCAGCATCGCGTGTGGCCCACTTGGAGCGAACAGTGGGGTCAGCATCAGCAGGAGGGGCAGGGACAGCGCCAGAGACAAAGTCAGAGAGAGAAGCCTCATCGATCGCATTGCACAGTAAGTACAGCTGCAGGTCCTCAATCCAGACCGCAAAGTCAATGGCGCGACCCTCAGCATCAAAAGCCAGGACACTGGGGGTGGCCATTGTAGCAGCTGACAATCTCACCGGGCAGGAAGAGTCGGGAAGCACAGCGGCACAGCAACATGGCAGCACAGCAGCTGCGCCGGCCCAGGAGCAGCAGCAGCCCCACAGGAGCAGAAGCTCGGCACCTCAGGTTGCTCGGGCGGCTCGGGCGGCTCGAGCGGTTGGGGCGGCGCGGGCGGCTCGGGCGGCTCGGGCGGCTTGGGCGGCTCGGGCGGCTCGGGCGGCTCGGGCGGCTCGGACGGCACAGGCGGCTCGGGCGGGTCTGCTGCACGGGCGGCTCGGGCGGCTCTGCTGCACGGGCGGCCCGTTCGGCTCGGGTGACGCGGGTGGCACGGGTGGCGCGGGCGTCGCGACGGGCGGCTCGCTGGCGGCTCGCGGGCGGCTCACGGGCGGCTGCGGGCGGCTGCACGGGCGGCTCTCGGGCGGCTGCACGGGCGGTTCACGGGCGGCTGAGGGGGGCTGCACGGGCGGCTCACGGACGGCGGCCTGGGCGGTCGCGGGCGGCTCACGCTAGGCGGCTGCACGGGCGGCTGCACGGGCGGGTGCACGGGCGGCTGCACGGGCGGTTCGTCGGGCGGCGCACAGGGAGCTCACAGGCGGCTGCACGGGCGGCACGTCGAGCTGCTGAGGGCGACGCACGGGCGGCGCACAGGCGGTGCGACGGGCGGCTCGCGGGCGTCGGGCGCTAGGGCACTAGGGCGACGACGGGCGGCGCTCAGGCCCTAGGGCGGGCGGCCGTCAGGCTCTAGGGCGGGCCGCGCTCGAGCTCTAGGGCGGGCAGCGCGCGGGCGCTAGGGCGGGCGGTGCTCAGGCTCTAGGGCGGGCGGCCGTCAGGCTCTAGGGTGGGCCGCGCTCAGGCTCTAGGGCGGGCAGCGTGCGGGCGTTAGGGCGGGCGGCGCGCGGGCGTCTAGGGGCCGTTAGGGCAGATCGAAAAAAAAAAGGAAGTAAGAGGGCCCGGAGCGCGCTCCGGGCAGAAAAAAAGTTACGAGGTAGCGGAGGTGGGCCCTAAGAACAGTTCCCACAGGGGAACCTGCTCGATACCATGAGAAGAAGTGAACGAGAATGAAATGACTATGAACGAAGTGAGTACAAATAGGAAACCCTAATTGGGTTGTACCCCCTATGGGATACCCCACTATAGCCTACACAAATAAGTAAGCTATATGTTCTGACAACCCTGTCTATCCAGCTCTGAGTTCTCTCTGACCTGTTTTGGGTCCCCGCTTCTGAGTTCATTAAACTTGTGGCGGCGATCTTTCTCGCCCCATGCTCTGGGGCGCTGCCATTCTCTGCTAGGAAGCGCCTTGTTTAAAATTGGAAGCTCGTTGCTGCCATCTGCCTCACCGTCGCCACACACCAGGCAGGTACGCTAGATTCCTGTGTGATCGTCTGTTGCACCTCTTCCCATGGATTCATTTCCTGCCACACTTCTTTCTCGTTTCATATCTCACTTCCCATGTGCGGTGCTTGCTCATCCCCTGTCAGCCTTACGTTAGACCAACTGTACCCCTTTGCAAGTTACTTAGAACTCTGATCTGTTATAGGATTTTTTGTCCGGATAAAATGCTAGTACCTTTTCAATTCAACCTGCCTGAATCTAAATGAAGTTTTTTGTATCTACGCCTCTCTAATGCATTGTTGCTATCCCTGTGACCAAATCCACATTTTTCTTGTTCCGTGGTCCTCCAATGTTGCTTCGCATGGCACCCGAGGGAGGATTGAGAAAAGGATTGACATTGGTGTTCTTCTTGCTCTTGGAATCTAGGTTCAAAATTACTGTCGTATTTTTGAAATGTTACCGTTTTATACGGTTTCTTATAATAGGCTCGTGTGAGAAATCGTAGAGCAATTTCAAAAATACGACCGTAATTTTTTAACCTTGCTTGGAATAGCGCATCTACATCATATGCTTTTTGATGAGTCATAGTATGATGAAAGAATTGAGGATCTTTCAGCATATAACCACTCTTGAATTCACACCAATACATTCTCTGAACTCTGCACTCTACATGTCGCATGTCTTTCCATGTCCCTTGCTCCAACCTGCTGAATGTACGCTGCCAGATCGCACTCTCTGCTCGTCACTCTCTTGAGGTGCCTCTCTCCGCTCCATTCATTCCTTCGTTCTGCACACATCTCACTAGGTACGCTACGCATCTTCTTTCAGGACATTCGTCCCTCTTCAGTATTGTGCGAAGCCGTTTCCAACCGTCATCGTCCACTGTCCTACAATATTCCCATCCAGCCTTAGCTCTTCCATACTGACTCACTCCGCCTCTCAGCCTCTGAGCCTCACCGCATCACCTCTTCTGGCTGCCTCTTCTCTTTGCCAGCCCTAGACCTTCCGTCTGCCCCCTTTGTCCACCTCACCTTCTTTCTTCGCCGCTTCTCTCACCCTTACTCTAGGTATAGATCCTTGCGTTGGAGAGGCGTAGACCATCTCCTTGCTTCGCCGATCACCTCGTTTCTTCATTCAATCCTTCTTCACTCGCCAACAGTCCCATCGTCATGCGTTTGAATGTCGTGCCCATATCCTCAATCTGTCCCTAACCTAAGGATAATCGCCTTGAGACACAACTGATCCAGTTATCCTGCCCCTCACCTGTTTTATGCTGCCACTTATTCTCTACCGCCGCTTACGCCCACCTTCCTTTGGTTCTGCCTCCTCCCACTCACTCACCTCCTTCCTCAGCTGTTGTTTGCTTATCTATTCCTCCTCCCCCCAACCCCCCTTCTCCCGCCGCCTGCCAGTCCTCTCGCCTGCTTCCCCCCGCCTCCCTGCTAGTCCCACCTGTTTCCTCCCCCCCTCCTGCCACTGCCCGCTTCCCCCACATCACTACACAGGCGCACGCCTTGCATTGGGCTCATCAGCCATGGCTCGGAGGACTGCAGTGGCCATGCTGCTGCCAAGGCTGCTCGTGGCTTTCCTTCTCGGCGCCGCCATCACAGCCATCAGCATCATAAGTTTTACGGGACCTGACAGGGATGCTTATCCACCAGTTGATGTGGACGTGAGTGGTCACTTCTGCATGACAAAGTAGTAAAATCTTTTGAAGCATGCAACGCATTTGCTCTTTGGTATTTTGAGCACCAGTTCATGCCTGCCCCAACCTGCATATATGTGCACATTGTATGTGTCTTGCAGTTTTGAAATATTCCATACTTGGCCCTCATTATTTACCTGTTCTCTCTTCCGTTATTGCCACGTGCAGTTGCCACGTGACACTGGCAGCCAGAAAGTCAACCACTCTCTTATTCTCCACTCTCCGTCCCTCTCTTTTGTAAGCACAAACCCTGCCACGCTCATATTGTCGTTTATTGCCACATTCTCTGCTTACTGAATGCTGTAGTTTTTTGTTAAAATGACTGAAAGCAAGATTGGCACATCATGTAGCATTGAAGTCATTCGTTTGATGCATGCGTGCGTGTCCGAGTCTGTGCGTGCCTGCGTTGCGTGCATCGCACTTCTCCCTCTCCATGTGTGCCTGTGTGTGTTGTTTGCCTCTCAGGACAATGGCACTGACTCGTCTCAGAATGCCACGTGCCTGCCACCCATTCAAGCCCACGCAATTGCTGCCTCTGGTCAGCAAGCCCACGCTCTCGACGTGTCCCGTCACAACCTGGTGCGTGTTGGGTTGACTTGAGGCATGTTGTTTGAGAACTTCTTTCAGGATCGAATGTCTTGTTGAGTTGTAACCTATGGGGTCCCTCCTCTTTCGCATGCTTCTTTGCTAATCTCCCTGTCCTCCCACATGTGCAGCTTTCGGTGTTCATGCTCTATTCTGCCGTCTCCACTCTCTTCTCTACTCTCATGGCACTGCTGTGGGGGATGGGCGTGACCCACACGCAAGTCAGAGAATGGGTGCATCAGCAGGGCTTGGCTGTGACGGCTGGGCTGATGAAGCTGAGGAGTGCAAGCAAGTGCCTCCTGGTATGCCATGCACTCTGCCACTGCCCGTTAGCCCTGGAGCTCTTCCTGTGCCAAGCTTGTCTTCCCTCTCGAGGCACTCTTCCCCACTTCTTCATGCCCTCACTCAAGTTCTGGTTACCGCTGCACGCTTCTTTCCCCTCTTTTGTCGTCTTCTCTCCTGCACTCCCTTCACTATAGATCTTGCCTTCTCTCTTTGCTCTCATCATGTTGCAGCCTTATGGGATCTTCCCTCTTCTGCACAGCCCCATGTGAGCATGCCCCACCTCGCCATCTCTCGTCATATTCGCAACCTCACAAGTCAGTAGTGTCTGGTCTGTTACTAAAAAATTCTCCTTTTTAGCAGTGTGCTGTGCTACCGTACTTCTGACTTCCGTCATCCCTTGTACAAATGACTGCTTGTATATCTATCAACAACAATCCCATGCTGTTTTACGTTTGCATGTGTCACTTAGCTTTGCAATCAGTAGCTGCCCTTCTGTTTCGCCTGCTGCCTCAATTTGAGCTTTCTCTTTGGGTAGATGTTGATTTGGAAATCAGCCAGAATGGAGGTGGTCAGAAGACTGCATGGGAGGTGAGTGCTGGTTGAAGTGTTACAAGAGGAATTCATGGTTTCACAAGGCACGCTCTGTTTTCTATTTACACGATCGTGACTCTTTGTCATATATTTGTTGTCATTTATTTCCCTCTTCATCCATCACCTCCAGCGTATGAAGTCAGCATCAGGGAAAATCGATCTGGACCTGAAGAATCTCAGTGGCGTCTCAGATGCCATCCTCAGCCATGTGTCCACAATGATCCACCTGATGAGCATTGACATGGCCGCTAGCTCAGGCTTCAGTGCAGAGGGCATCAAGCACCTCTACAGGCTGCCACTGCTGGAGACAGTAAACCTCAGCAGCACAAACATATCATAAAGTGCTTTGGAAGGCATTGGATCCTTGGTCGGGCTCAAGTTTCTCCATATCCATCGTACCAATGTGACGGACGCTGGTCTGACGCACTTGACATGTCTCTCCTCACTCAAAGATTTGAGGCTTTCTGAATGCAAGGGTGTGACAAATGCTGGCGTGGTGCATGTGGGGAAGCTGACAAGGCTTGAGGAACTTCGGCTGGGTTGGACGCCGGTCACGGATGATGGGCTCCAACAGCTGCCTGCCCTGACCAAGCTGAAAACTTTACGGTTGCCAAATGGGAATATGGTTTACAATGATGATGTGCGCAGGTGGATAGGCAGATAAAGGGGTAGGGAGTGATGGAAAGGGGGGGGAGGGAGGAAGGCGGTGGGGCTGGGGGTGGGGTTACAACATGCCGGTAAGGGCAAAGTTGGCGGTAATTGCTTGGAGGATATGGTACTACGGAGGGGCATGGTGGAGGCAAGAGGTGTGGAGGAGGGGAGCACGTTGAGGACGTGTGGAGCGGAGGAAAGGGTTACGGGAGAACTATGCATGTAGGAGCATGAAGATAGTGGATCTTATGAACTATTGACTTGAAGTCGAAGTCAAACATCTTTCACCTTTCACACGTGTTCAAGCGATAAACAACAGCAGCGCTCTTGTTCCACTAAAGTTCACAACAAATTTTTGTTGCCAATGTCTCTCCCCGTCCTGGATCCTCGTTCTCCCACCACCACCTTCCAATCTGGCAAGCAAATGTCAGAACATTATAGCTTACTTATTTGTGTAGGCTATAGTGGGGTATCTCATAGGGGGTACAACCCAATTAGGGTTTCCTATTTGTACTCACTTCATTCATAGTCATTTCATTCTCGTTCACTTCTTCTCATGGTATCGAGCAGGTTCCCGTGTGGGAACTGTGCTTAGGGCCCACCACCTCGAAATTTTTTTTCTGCCCTAGCTGCTAGCGCGCCGCCCGCCCTAGAGCCCGAGCGCCGCCACTAGCGCCCTAGCGCCCGTCCGCTGCCCGCCCTAGCGCGCCGCTTGCCCTAGGACTGAGCGCCGCCCCTAGCGCTAGCCGCCCGTGCAGCCGCTCCGACGCGCCGACATAGCGCCGCCCTAGCGCCGCCCGACGCGCCGCCCTAGCGGCGCCCTAGCACCGCCCAGCGCGCCGCCCTAACGCTAGCCGCCCTACGCCCGCTAGCCGCCCGCCGCGTCGCCCGTGCACCACCCGTGCGTCGCCCGCTGCGTCGCCCGTGCGCCACCTGTGCGTCGCCCTCAGCAGCTCGACGCGCAGCCCGTCAAGCCGCCCGTGCTGCCGCCAGGCGTGCCGCTAGTGCAGCCGCCCTTAGCCGCTCGTGAGCAGCCCGTGCAGCCGCCCGTGCACCCGCCCGTGCACCCGCCCGTGCACCTACCCGTGCGGTCGCCCGTGCACCCGCTCGTGCACCTACCCGTGCGGCCGCCAGTGCAGCCGCCCGTGAGTAGCCTGCGAGCCGCCCCAGCCGCCCGTGCAGCCGCCCCAGCCGCCCGTGAGCCGCCCTGGCCGCCCGTGCAGCCGCCCGTGAGCCGCCCGCTCGCCGCCCCAGCCGCCCGTGCAGCCGCCCGTGAATCGCCCGCGAGCCGCCCCAACCGCCCGTGCAGCCGCCCGCGAGCCGTCCCAGCCGCCCGTGCGGCCGCCCGTGAGCCGCCCGCGAGCCGCCTGTGAGCCGCCCGCGAGACGCCCGCGCCGCCCGAGCCGCCCGAGCCGCCCGAGCCGCCCGAGCCACCCGAGCCGCCCGAGGAGCCGAGCTCCTACTCCTGTGGGGCTGCTACTACTCCTGGGCCGGCGCAGCTGCTGTGCTGCCGTGTTGCTGTGCCGCTGTGCTACCTGACTCTTCCTGCCCGATGAGACTGTCAGCTGCTACAATGGCCACCCCCAGTGTCCTGGCTTTTGACACAGAGGGTCGCGCCATTGACTTAGCAGTATGGGTTGAGGACCTGCAGCTGTACTTACTGTGCGATGCGATCGATGAGGTTTCTCTCTTTGACTTTGTCTCTGGCGCTGTCCCTGCCCCTCCTGCTGATGCTGACCCCACTGTTCGCTCCAAGTGGGCCACACGCGATGCTGCTGCACGTCTTGCTGTGCGTCGCCACCTCCCGTCCTCCGAGCATGCGCACTTTAGTCAGTGCAAGACCGCTCAGGCCTTGTACGACGCTGTAGTTGCGCGCTACTCCTCCCCTTCCTCCGCTACGCTAAGCCGCCTCATGCTACCGTACCTCTTCCCTAACCTCGCTGCCTTTCCCACAGTCGCTGACCTCTTTACCCACCTCCGCGCTAGTGACACTCGCTACCGCGCTGCGCTTCCTGCTGAGTTCCGCGCCGCAAACCCTCCTCCCATGTACATCACTCTCTACTTTCTAGTCACCCGTCTCCCTGAGTCCCTTCGTGCCGTTAGGGACCAGTTTCTCTCTGTTTGTCCCACCACCCTCACTGTCGACCTCCTTGAGAAGTCCCTGCTAGCGGCTGAGAAGACTATAGTCGCTGTAGGGGCCTCTCGTGGTGACCCTCGCACCCCCATCTTTGAGGGGTGTTCTCCCTCTCCCGTGTTACCCTCTGTCGCCTCTGCTGCTGCGGCCGACCTCGTTGGTTTGGAGTCGGTCGGCGCGGCGTCTGCCCCCAGCGGTAGGCGCCGCTCTGGCAGGGGCAAGGGGAGCAAGGGAGCGGGTGGAGCTAGCGGGGGCGGTGGCAGAGGAGGTGGGGGCGGCGGGGGGAGTGGGGGTGGCGGTGGAGGTGGTGGCGTGAGTGGAGGTACTGGTGGCGGCATTGGAGGCGGAGGCGGCGGCGGAGGTGGTGGTGGAGGTGGCGGTGGGAGCGGCGGGGGCGAGGGTGGCGGTGGCGGCGGTGGCGGCGGAGGCGGGGGTGGCGGTGGTGGAGGTGGTCGGAGTGGCTCGTCTCAGCGGAGCAGCACTGGGGGTGGTCAGCGCCACCAGCAGCAGCAGCAGCGCTTTCGCGACGTCCCCACCCCTCAGCAGCTCCGTGAGTGGTACTCGCAGCGTCAGCGTGGTGGGGCGTTCGGTCCCTGCACCTACGTCCTTCGCACCGGCGACCGCGCGGGTGAGCAGTGTGGGGGCACCCACACCGCTCGCCGCTGCTTTGCTCGCTTGACCGACGCTTGGCGCCAGCAGTTTCTGGAGGCCTCTGAGATCCCCCGCTGGGGAGAGCTGTCTAGGGCTGGTGTAGCTATCTTTGCTCTTGACTTTGATGCTATCCTTGCTGCCATGTATGCTGTGACTGTTAGTGATAAGGGTGACTGTTACCGGTGTTTCCCGCCCGACCCGGGCATTGGTACTGCTGCGTCAGGTGCCAGTGAGGCTGCTGCTCTAGGTGCCAATGCGTCTGTGCTCTCAGGTACTAGTGAGTCTGCACTCTCAGCTACTGTGTCGGCTTCGGCCTCTCACACCTTCACCCTTGACTCTGGGGCATCTCGCTCCTTCTTTCGGGACCGCACCACTCTCACGCCGCTTAGTCGGCCGGTTGCGGTGTCCCTGGCTGACCCCTCTGGGGTTCCTGTCCTGTCTCGTTTCTCCACAGTCCTCCCGTGTCCGGCGGCTCCCTCTGGCACCCTGACAAGTCTCTACCTCCCCTCGTTCTCTACGAACCTGGTGAGTGGTGCTGACCTACAGGATGTGGGTGTCCACCAGTTCACTCCTGCTCGTCAGCGGGTGACACACTGCACAAAGGCTAGCACAGGTCGCCACCTGGCTACGTTTACACGTCAGCCAGGGTCGAGCCTGTACACACTGACCACTGCTTCTCCTCGCGGTGCTGAGTCTGGTAGAGTCCCTTCGTCTGGTCAGGTGTTTGCTGCAGCGTCCAGGTCTGGTCCTGAGTCTGCCTCCTGTTCGTGTCGCCGTTTGTCTCACGAGACTCTCCTCTGGCACCACCGCCTTGGCCACCCCTCTCTGCTTCGGCTCAGAGGCATGGCCTCCCGTCTTCTTGTGTCTGGTCTCCCCCGGTCCCTCCCTCCCCTTCCTCAGGGCCCTGGCCCTGCCTGTGTCCCCTGTGTCGAGGGGCGCCAGCGTGCTGCCCCTCACTCCTCCCAGTTTCCTCCGACAGAGGCTCCGTTGCAGACGCTTCACATGGACGTGTGGGGCCCTGCCCGCGTCCGTGGACTCGGTCACAAGCGCTAATTCCTGTTGGTGGTTGACGACTACTCGCGTTACACCACAGTCTTCCCCTTGCGCAGCAAGGGTGATGTCACTGAGGTGCTGATCGACTGGATCCGCGCAGCTCGTCTCGAGCTC